AGACACATATCAGTGAGGAACAACGAGCGCAGAAAGAGCGCTATGACCGAATGCGTCGACAGGCAACGAAATACGACGAAGGTGCACTAGTTTTAGTGCAACTTACAAGCGATCCGGCAATGGGCAGCAGCCGAAAGTTACACCCAAAATTTAAAGGCCCGTTCCGAGTTTGCAAAGTTCTTATTAATGATCGTTATGAGGTTGAAGACCTACGAGAAGGATACAGACGGAAACGAACGGTTGTAGCGGCTGACTGGATGAAGCATTGAATTACGGTTCAGAACGAATAAAGGGATTGAATCAGTTATTACGGACTGCACTTGGTTGATGCGAAAGCATCTACCTGAGTCAGTTACTACGGACTGCACTTGGTTGATGCGAAAGCATCTACCTGAGTCAGTTATTACGGACTGGGATTGGTTGATGCGAAAGCATCCACCTGAGTCAGTTATTACGGACTGAAATTGGTTGATACGAGGTCATCTATCTGCGTCAGTATTGAGGAAATTAGGCTGGATGTCGGTATTGACAATATCAACCAACGACGACGGACCGACAGTACGGGTGATGTTAACCTAATCGGTTAAACGAATCGTATTACTGCCGGAAATACCCCAATGCCACCTGATATTGATTAAGAGGCATAGATAACTATGCATCAGGAATTCCAAGAAGTGTCTGAGGACAGACCCTAGAGCAGGATGGCCGAATGTAAGAAAATCACTACGGCCCTGAAGTTGGTGTGGGCTCTACAATTCTATAGCGGACCCTGGACCAACGTTGTCACTGCGAGTGACCGTATGGAGGGGATAGGACGAACGAGCGTGTGTGTGTTCCCTCAGACAAAAGAGAGAGCTTCCGGCTTTTGTCTAGACAACAACCATACATAGTGCCATAACGGAATAAAAGTCTTAATCTATATCTATAGATTCGAGGGTTTAATTTGCAATTTTGTCTCTATAAAATATTTCTTACAGCACTCTTACTGAAAATATTAGGGGAAGCCGATACTTTTCGATTAATGTATTTTCTTTAAACCAATTAATTGGTCTCATTATTTCGCGCACAAAAGTATTAAGGTTATGATTACTGAAAACTAAATAATATTTTACAAGATATTTTACATTTTGTGTCAAAAAATTGTTAACTTCAAACCTTTATAACTCAAAAAGTACTTAATGAAAAAATGTTTTATTATAGTGTTTTGGAAAGCTCTCGAGATAAGTTATAAGAATATGCAATAAAATATTGGGGGTTCCATTTAAAAAAATAAAGTTGACCTTGAAAGACATGGTTAAGGTCATCATCTTACTCTCTGCTTAAAACCATACAACTTTGCTATTGGACATTTTCTCCAAAATGCATTCTAACTGAAGATATAAGGGGGGTCCGATATTTTTCGATGACCCTGTATATTGCTAGATTATTTAATTATTGAATTCCATAGTTTAACGTAAAATCCTGACATAGGTGACAGCATATCAAGTCAGTACTCAGATGAAAATAACGGATTAAAGTCAATCGTGTGAACTGGCTGTACCAGGTCTGTAAATATGAAACCGGAATTTGCCCATACCAGGTATGTCGGTAATTACTTTCCGGTTTTTGTAACAGATGTCACTAGCCATAAGCATGCAATGTTATGATTTGATACATATGTCATTTTATTCTACTGACATTAACCTCAAAACTACACAAGTTACGTTCCGCCAAAATAACAGCGTTATAGATTAATAATTTTTTGAAAATGTCGAGTTTTGTGCCTGAAAACGTGCATTTGCGGCACGCATTACTTTTCTTGTTTAATCAAAAGAAAAAAGCCGCTGAAAGTCATTGTTTGCTGGTAGAGACTTACGGTGAGCATGCTTCAACCATAAGAACATGTGAAACGTGGTTTCGACAATTCAAATGTGGTGATTTCAACGTTCAAGACAAAAAACGTCCTGGTAGGCCGAAAACGTTTGAAGATGCGGAATTGCAGGAGTTATTGGATGAAGACCCAACACAAACTCAAAAACAATTGGCAGAAAAGTTGAATATGAGCCGAGTAGCAATTTGTGAACGATTACAAGCGATGGGAAAGATCCAAAAGATGGGAAGATGGGTGCCACATGAATTGAATGACAGGCAATTGGAAAATCGAAAAATCGTCAGTGAAATGCTGCTTCAAAGGTATGAAAGGAAGTCATTTCTGCATCGAATAGTAACGGGTGATGAAAAATGGATTTATTTCGAAAATCCCAAGCAAAAAAAATCATGGTTATCACCTGGCGAAGGCGGCCCATCGACTGCAAGGCCAAATCGCTTTGGTCGCAAGACCATGCTCTGTGTCTGATGGGACCAGGTTGGTGTCGTATATTATGAACTGTTGAAACCTGGAGAAACAGTTAATACTGATCGCTACCAACAACAAATGATCAATTTGAACTGTGCATTGATCGAAAAACGTCCACAATACGCTCAAAGACATGATAAGGTGATTTTGCAGCATGATAACGCGCCGTCTCATACAGCAAAACCAGTCAAAGAAGTGTTGAAATCACTTGGATGGGAAGTTTTATCACACTCGCCGTACTTTCCAGACCTGGCTCCATCCGACTACCACCTTTTCGCATCGATGGGGCACGCGCTTGCAGAGCAGTACTTCGCCGATTTCGAAGAAGTTAAAAAATGGCTCGATGAAAGGTTTAGCTCAAAGGAGAAACAGTTCTTTTGGAATGGCATCCATAAATTGCCTGAGAGATGGGCAAAATGTACAGAATCAAATGGCCAATACTTTGAATAAATATATTTTAACTATCCATTGTAAATAACGTGTTTTTTTTAGCGAAAAAACCGGAAAGGAATTACCGACACACGTGGTATATATATATATATGCAATATATATACGCAAACTCATTAGTAGAATACATTGATAATATGGGGATATCAGGCAGGTATAAAATATATCAGCCCACTGCAGATCCTCTCCACTGGCAAAAACTGAGAATTTCGATCTTATATATGTATCTCGGAGGCCTTAAAAGCCCGTATAAACTTTGTCCAACTCAAAAATATTCGATATTTTATAGGTTTTATACATTTGATAAATTTGCGCGTCCGCCATTTTGAATTGAGGGCCTAATTTAAAAAACGGGCTCGATATAATTGTAGAGCAATTCATCGCGAGTAAATTAAAAAAAAAGTATGGAAATTGGTTAAGAATTACGCCGTCTAGCGATTTTTGTCCACAAAAAGACTCATTTGTTCCACTATGCGGCGCTAGTCGCTCGATCGCTCGAACGCTCGGAATTTCGCCCGCTTGACGGGTCACGCACTGCACTCCAAAGCTTGTTGCCTCGAAATCGGCACACCAAAATTTCCTCGTCGAGAGCGAAACACCAACACACTCTCTCTTCCGGGGAACGACAAGGAATCTGTCCTCCTGGGGAGCGATAAACGAAAATCTCTCTTGCGCGGGCGAGAAACGACGAATTCTCTCCGTTCGAGCGAAACACGAAAATCTGATTTCCGTATCGAACGGAACCCAAATTGCATCTGATCTCTTTCTTTCTTCCTTTCCTTCTTTGTCCCCGTTTTTCGGGTGGTTTCTCCCTCTCCCCGTTCCTCGCTCTTCCAACGGGTCGGGAATCCTTCCATGAATCGGTGTTGTTGATCCGCGTAACGGATTCTCTCTCTCTCTCTCTCTCTCTCTCTCTCTCTCTCTCTCTCTCTCTCTCTCTCTCTCTCTCGCTTTGTCCCGCGATCATTGTTCCGGGTCTGTCTAGCTATTGTTTTTCGTCGCCGAGCGGACCACATGCTGTGGTCGTGATTGACGGTATCACGCCTTGCTCCTTCCGTCTCCTTCCGTGTTGTCGCCTGGGCATTGTCTGACAACAAACACGGCAGCGATCATTTCTTTCGGGACGGCATGTAAGTTCCTAATAATAAACGAGAATCATAGGAAAAAGCATATTCACTTTTAAATGATTTTCACCCTTGAGCTCGCATCCTAAAAGTCATCATTGAATGGCTCCTATAACTTGTGCCCGAAACCTTTTTTGGTTATCGTTCAAATCTTTGGAATAATCCCTGTGGATTAATTGAATGGAAAACTTGACCTTAAATAAGCTTCAGACGTCGTTTTGTCTCTACAATATACCATATACAAATATAGATTTTAGCGCACTTTTTATTTCTGAAGTCAAAATACAATTTCAAATCCAGAAAAGTACCTTGACCTCTGAATGTTGACCTTCACCCTTGACTCCAAGGTCAAACGTAAGATCACCATTAAACGGTCCCTTATCAGCCCTATAACTTTTGTCTAAAACATTTTTCACTACCAATCATATCTTCCGAGTAATTCGCGCGAATCTATTAGAATATCCCATCCATATTTATGTATAATCATATATATATGTATATATGTTTGTGTAACTATTTATCTTTTACATATGTATACTAATATATATTCGCATATACCTGTAAATAATCATATAATAGCGAATGAATACGTTTTATGGACTTATTATTATGTAAATTTCCATTTCAACGTTTTAAAATGGCGAATATGCAAATTGGTGAAATCAACAATTTTGACCCTTCATATCTTGAAAATAAAAAGCCGGCTCAATTTGAAACTTTCTGAGGATTCATAAATCATTATTAACTATCATTTAGTACCAAGTAGAAATCTAAATTCAAGGATGGAAAAAGAGGTTATTTTATTGAGCCCCTTGCGGTTCGTGGAAGAAGACGTAAGAAGAATAGCGTTAGGGAGGTGGAGCGAGCTAAAAATCGGTTTTACCGAGCTCTAACATAGAGCGAAAAATAAATTGAGTTTTCATTGAAACACTCCCAGTAAATCGTTTCTTGAAGGAAATTAATATAATCCAATATAAATTAAATGCAAATAATCGAAAAAAGTAATTGTAACAGCCTCTACATAGACATTTCTTGAGAGCATATTATGTATTTTAAACAATATACATGTATACGTAATGTATATGATACTTACATCGTATCTCGGCATAAGGAATATCACTTTAGCAGTAGGTGTATTGATTAATCCACGATAAGTGGAATCGGTAATGAAAACTATGCAATTACTACGCATTGCAATTTCTTCTATAATTTGTTCGACCACCCATTTCAAATCGTTTGTTTCGCGTTCACATCGGTGCACTCGTTTAAAACCATTTCTGTAAAATATCATAAAAGCTTATATTCATGGTTTACATTTATTAGAATTGAAATTACGCTCATCACAATTGAAATTCAAACTTTTCAGCTATAAGGAGAACAGGTAGCCATGACAAAAAAGTGATAACTATTGCCGTCGTCTCGAGACGCATATCGAGGTATTTCTTTGGACTTTCACGTCTCGTCGATTCGTGATTCTTCGTTCGTGTCCATCGATCGATCTATGTGAACTCTGGTGCATCTTCTCTTGCGATATCATCATTTAACGACCTCGTTTGTATGCAATTCTATTAAACAACGCGATCGTTAGCCATCTTACATAATTCTAATCCATCCGCGCGCGCGCAGTGTTTTGAAGGTCAAGATCAAATGTTTCGTTGAACTAATTATTTCTAATAACTAATTTATTTTTTAACATTCCATTTTATACCGGTGTATAATTTGTAATGCTTGCTATTTATATTGAAATATAATGTGTAATGTGAAAACAATTCAAACAATCAAAACAATATAACGACCTAGTATCACAAAGTAAACACAAAGTATCATCGATGTTACAATGTCAGGTAAATCATATGGTATATCACACAACTATTACTTTGTTATAACAAAGCAACTCTTATACAGGGTGCACGATTTATCTGAAGACATTGAAATATCTCGAAAACTATGCATTGGATAAAAAAAAGTGGTTAATGAAAGTTGTTAGTCTCGAAGGGACATCCAATGATACCAAACTCGACCTCCCACCCCACCCCCTGCGGGTGGGGGTTGGGGACAACTTTGAAATCTTAAATGGAAACCTCCATTTTTTATTGCAGATACGGATTCTACGCCACAAAATACGTAAATTTTGTCCGAAACTTTTTTTTTGATTCGTGATAGATGGCGCTGTAATCGCAAAAAATTATATTTTTCGCAATTCTCCAGAAATGATCATTGGATTGAGAAATAAAAGATACCTGTTCAATATTTTTAAAGAACATAATAAAAGTTATTCCCCCCCCATCCTCTCGGGGTAGGGTGGGTGATAACGTTCAAATCTCAAATGGGGACCCACATTTTTCATTGCAGAATTAGATTGTACGTGAAATTTTTATTGAAACAATTTTTTTCATTCGTGATAGATAGCGTTGAATTTTTCCGAGAAACTACTTTTAGCGTTACACAGGAACAACGACGAGGACGTAGTAGTTTTATGTTTCCTTCGGGTGCTTTTTTAATGTGAGTCCCCTTGCCTCTCACAGATCGGGGTGCTTTTTTAATGTGAGTCCCCTTGCCTCTCACTGTTCAATTAATTAGAGTAAGTGTTCGAAATTTTTACCTTCAACTTCAATACACTTATTGATCCTTTTTTCAAATGACTGTACACAGGATAGAAGCATATCTGCGGGAGTTTCAGCGCAAGCGTTTCTTATGCGTTCTACCATGTTTTCACGAGTTGTTGGCACTTGTTGATAAACTTTATCTTTTAGGTAACCCCACAGAAAGAAATCCGGCATTCTTTAAAATGTTCTTTGAAAATGTTCTTTATGTATGTTGTTTAAAAATATTGAACATCTCTATGTTCTTTAAAAATATTGAACAGGTATTTTTTATTTCTCAATCCAATGATCATTTCTGGAGAATTGTGGAAAATATAATTTTTTGCGATTACAGCGCCATCTATCACGAATCAAAAAAAAAGTTTCGGACAAAATTTACGTATTTTGTGGCGTAGAATCCGTATCTGCAATAAAAAATGGGGGTTTCCATTTAAGATTTCAAAGTTGCCCTCAACCCCCACCCCCAGGGGGTGGGGTGAGAGGTCGAGTTTGGTATCATTGGATGTCCCCCTTCGAGACTAACAACTTTCATTAACCACTTTTTTTTATCCAATGCATAGTTCTCGAGATATTTCAATGTCTTCAGATAAATCGTGCACCCTGTATAACATATATGATTTAGCTCAGAGCTCGGCAAAATGTGCACGCGACGGCCGATTTTCGACTATCTCCGCTCACCGCTATTCCCTTTACCTTATAGGCAGCCGCTCCGCGCGCTGCCTATAAGCCGCTCGAGCCTCAGGAGCGTGTTTCCAATAGTTTTCACATCACCCATGAGGTACTATTGTTGACGCGTTTTTTTTTTAAGTGGAATCCCCAGTTGGCCTCTTCATTTTTCAAAAATGATGTTTATAAAAAATGAGAAGTGTTCTTCTTTAAGTGACGATTCCTTACCACGTCTTATGCGGCTCGCTACATGCAATATCTAAATTGACGTTTCCACTCTTACCAATAAAAGACGCCGAAAATCGAATTGAATATTCTGCATTTAATATATTTTATTTCGCTTCTGTTCAATTAGTTACGGGTTGTTACAGTCATCAGTGGATTAGGCTTACTGGGGATACCACTTAAAAAAAAAAAACGCGTCAACAACAGTACTTCATGGGTGACGAAAACTATTGGAAACACGCTCCTGAGATTCGAGCGGCTTGTAGGCAGCGCGCGGAGCGGCGAGGTAAAGGGAATAGCGGAGATAGTCGGCCGTCGCGTACATATTTTGCCGAGCTCTGATTTAGCTGATATTGTAAGATCGATGATACTTTATATTTACTGGGAAAAAGACATGCTTGAACGTGAAAATAATACTTATGTACTTCTGACATTACAATTTATTTATTATTAGGAAGACAACAAGCTGTAAAGTTTTTATTGCAACTTTCTTATTTCTAGCGTAAATATATTACGAAGGTTTGTAAAGTAAAATAAATAAAATTGTTATCTCAAAGTTATACAGTCTGCACATTTGTAAAATAAAATGTTAATCTTAAGAATATATCACTAATAGATCTGATAACTGTAACGAATATGTAAAACTATGAACTTTGCATTGAATTTGAAATAGACCATTTATATATATGGTATAATACCAAATAAACGTTTTCGTCGAACATAAGAGATGTTATTTATTCTTCTTTTCTCTGACTTCATAAAAGATAGTAACCAATTCAGAAAAAATAATCAATTCAGTAAAAAGGTAAATGTTAAATATTTTCAACAAAGGATCAGGTTTTTTATTAAAGTTATGCATCAATTAAAATGAAAAATATATTTAAATCGTCTACATTTTGTATTACCATTTTGTATTACCATTTTGTACTACCATTTTTTTGTATTACCATTTTGTATTACCAAAGAGATATTTTGTCGAAATTGTGGTCGTCAAAATTGTAGAAAAATAATGATTAATTTTTTAAATAACTGATGAAGTATTTATCGCTAATGTTCACATGTAGTATACGCATTTATACTTTTAATACTGCTAAAAAACATCTTAAAATACGTATTTTATTGTTAACATATGTATCAATACAAATGTGACTCAGCAGAATATGTATGGTATAGTATGCGCGTGCGCGCGCTATATATGTGTATGTATATGTAGTGTGCAGATACAAGTCGAGCAACCGACCAAGTTTATGCTCAGTCATGAATAAACTGATGTGTTACGTTTGCGTTAGAACCGGTTTATATAAATATATGCCGTACGTACGTTCTCATTTTTGTCTGATCTGCGATACGCTTCAAATTATCGTGAGTGCGAGGAAAAAGTGTACTTGAAAAGAGGGAATAACCGGGTCCGACCGAGTTTAGTGACGGAATATTTTACGTCTAATTTCATTCCGAGTGCAGGACAAACGTATTAAAAAAAGTGTTAGAAAACTGGAGAGAAATTTGTCTTCTTGTTGGCTAACTGTGAGATACATTCATGTCATTGCCTTTTATATAAGTGCAGATATATTAAATTTTACCTAGCAAACACAATATTATATGTAACATATCTGTTAGTTGTAATTTCCTACTCAACAATATGATTGTTATAGAACGCAAGTGTTATAGTGACATAAATCACTTTGCTTTGTAACTGTAAGAAAAAATTGCAGTTAAAAAATAGTATTATTATTATGTTAGATTTATTTTAGCTTCAAATTTTTTTCAATATCACTTTACACGATTTATGACACAAGGGAACTGGGGATACTTTTTATCGAAGTAATTCTAATTATTCAAACGTTTCTTCTGTGTTGCATCCTAGCAAATATCAAATGACAGTTACATAACTGTTGGTTATAATTTCCTACTGAACAATATAATTTTTATATAACACACGTTATATCACATTTACATTGTTGAGTGAGGAATTATAACTAACAGTTGTGTTACTGTTACGTAGTGTTTGCTGGGATTATCAAAAGAACTTTGTCCCGTATTTTGTCGTAAACAACAGACTATTAATCTTATCAAAATAAAATGTCACTCTTTTTTGCTATTATGACTAATATAAGGAAACAGACCTCTCCAGTAGACCCACTTTATCTCAAAGACGTCCGACAGACATCATTTTGGGATACCGCAATATCTTGGGGATATACAAATATCCGCTATTTTAGATCCTACAGATATTCTACGGATATCCCTTTTAGTAACTATCAATTTTTTTTTAGAAACTTTCGGTTTTTTAAAATTGGTATTAAAAGAGATGTCCGTAAGATATTTGTAGGATCTAAAACAACATTTGTATATCCCCAGGATATTGGTGTCGGACATCCCTGAGATAAAGTGTGCTGTGTGGGGGGGGACGCTTGCTTCTTCTTTCTTCGCAATGATGCACTCAACAAAGACAGTTGTTTTGTAACTGCGTAAAATCCATGGTTTCCAATCTAATTGGTATATGTTCTTAGATCCAACTGAAATTAAAGAATACACCAATCAAATTCACAAATTGTACACAGTTGCAAAATAGCTTTTTATGTTGAACATAACCATTCTGTATCATGCATTTGTTTTGTTGGTTCCATTGAAGCAAAATTCGAGAAGTCGCAATTAAAAAAGGCAAATGCCTCCGCATGCCGTCAATAGTTGCTGGATCGACTGGAGCTGCGTTACAATTAGGGATGGGCGATACAGTATCGATATTTTAAGACATCGATACTTTTGAATCTAAATATCGATATTTTGTATCGATATTTTTCCTTTCAATATTATTGTGTATCGATATTTCAAGAGCAATATCGGACTTCTAATACAAACTACGTTTACACGGTAACGTTAATCCGGATTAGTAACTACCGTAGTTAATGCAGGGTGTTTACTTCTAGTAATCTGATTTGTAATCGAATTGGAAGCAGTGATATAAACTGACTTTAGAAAAAGTTCCCTAGACTAATCCGATTTATGAAACGTGTTCTCGGAGCAATCCGATCAGATCCGATTAGCTCATGACGAGTAAAGAAGGACGTGGTTTATTTACTTGTGATTTACATTTCAAATCATATTAATACGAATCAGGCAAAATATATAGGTATGTACTTTATGAATCTTATAATTACTTTCCTAGCCAAAGCAATCTAATGTGAAAACCAAAATTGTCACTTTGCACTGCGAACTGAAATATGCATAATTAAAATTGACTGACATTATTATAACAGGTTAAGAAACCTATTATAATAATGAATTATAGCAGTTGTTTGGTTTACTAATTTTTTTTGTAATTAAAACAACAAGGAAATTAGCGGTAGCCGCAGCAAAGTATAAAAGAATTAGGCTAAGAAAGTGCTTTTCTGTTAATTGTACAAAAAACAGGAAAGTTGGGTGAAACTAATTAAAAAACTTAACTCTTTTGTATTTTACTACGACTATCCCAAATCTCCTTGTTATTTGATTTATTTTTTTTTTGTTTTAAATAGCAAAATATTTTCTTGTCCTAATGACTTTGTACTTTGTTGTGAATATCTAAAACTTTCTTTTTATTAGTTTTATTAAAAAAAAATCAAATAACAATGTGGTTTAAGGTAAGTACAAAGTATAAGGGAGTTAAATTTTTTACCGATTAGTTTCACCCAATTTTCTTGTCATTTATGCAATTAATAGCAAAATACTTTCTTCTTCTAACTTGTACTTTGCTGCGGCTATCTTTAACCTCCTTCTTATTTGTTTTATTTAAAAAAAATAAATGAAACTGCTATAATTTGTCGCAATAACAGATTTCGTAATCTGTAATATTAGTCAACTTTAACTATTTATATCTCGCTTTGCGGTGTAGAGCGACTATTTTGACTTTCAAATATGGTTACTACGCATTAACACAATATAAATATGTGAATTTCAACCAAATCGGAAGTGAAAGTCTAAATTGGATAATTACCTAATTTTCTATAATTACCTAACTTTTAATTACCTAACTTAATTACCTAACTTTTTTCAAATGTCTATTGACAAGATGTATTTATATTTCACCAATATATATTTTCAAAAAATTAATAGACTATAATGAATAACCTGCCACTCCTTGGATAGACAGAATACTGAACATAGTATGGTCTTTTTATTACTATAATAATTTAGTATTAATAATTTAGTATTAATTTAGTTCTTTTGTCAGCATATTGGTAGCAATTTTTATGACAATAGAACATTTCTGCAATATTGACACAATTTTCATGGCATCAGATGTGCCTTCTTTTACATATTAACAAAATTCTGTTTGTACAAGGATGCATCTTGATGTATTCATGCTAGTCTATTAGTTTATCTGCGTCTACTTCAATTATTAGCATATAAGTTTATCAAAATAATCATTTTTTTAGATACTTGAAAATCAGTATGGCATGTGAACAAAAGGAAAACCTATGTAAACAGGATCAATACGGTATATATCAGGTGTAGTAAAAAGAAATCCATTATTTTTGCATGAAATTGAAGGCTTTAATTACCATAGTTAGAATGATCCGATTTAGGTCAAATATGCGCCGTTTTGTTCCATAACTTGTTGCCATTTTGAAGGTAATTTCATTATGCCTCTCTCATAGAAGCCCTCGCCCCTATTGACAAAAAATTGAGACAGTCGATTTTCACAAGCCTCTCTTGAAGCGAATTTTTCACCAGCAAAATTGTTCGCCATGGACAGGAACAGATGGTAATCACTTGGTGCCAGGTCCGGACTATAAGGTGGATGCATAAGAACCTCCCAACCAAGCTCCCGGAGCTTCTAGCGAGTCACTATCGATGTGTGTGGCCTGGCATTGTCCTGATGGAACACAATTCCTCTCCTATTGGCCAAAGCTGGCCGCTTCTGGGCGATTGCTTCCTTCAGACGGTCCAATTGTTGACAGTACAGTTCCGAATTAAGAGTTTTGCCGTAGGGGAGCAGCTCATAGTAGATAATTCCCTGCCAATCCCACCAAACACACAGTAAAACCTTCCTGGCCGTCAATCCTGGCTTGGCTACCGTTTCCGCCAGCTCACCGCGATTCGACCACGACCGTTTTCGCTTGACGTTGTCGTAAGTGATCCACTTTTCATCACCAGTGACCAACCACTTCAGAAATGGGTCGATTTTGTTGCGATTCAGCAGCGATTCGCAGATGGAATTTCGGTCCATGAGGTTTTTTTTCGTTAACTCGTGTGGCACCCATACATCGAGCTTCTTTTTGTATCCAGCCTTATTCAAATAGTTCCAAACGGTTTTTGTGCAATCTTTAGCTCTTGAGCAATCGAAACAGTGCTTACATGACGGTCGGACTCGACAATGTCCATGATTTTATCGATATTTTCGACAATTGGCCTTCCAGTGCGTGGTGCATCTTTGACATCGAAATTACCGGAACGGAATCGACGAAACCAAAATTGCGTGTGATTGGCTGTTACAGTATCAGGACCATAAACACTATTCACATTTTCAGCCGCCTGGCTTGCGTTTTCGCCTTTATCGAAGAAAAACTGTAAAATATAGCTTATTTTCTCTTTGCTAGTGTCCATCTTTGACGTGCGCTCAAACAAAACTGAGTCAACTAATCAGAAAACTGTCACAAAAATTTTTTTAGTACGAAATCTCATCTTTCTAATGCCATCTAGTGGAACTCGATCGGACTTATACAACGCGAGATACAGATAACTAAAGCCATCTATTGGAAAAATAATGGATTTCTTTTTACTACACCTGATATATCATATTATTGAAAAGACAATATTTCCCAGTAAACACCAATTAACAGCAACATAATATAAATATTACAATATCTCATTGTCTAATTTAAATATAACATATAACGTGCATGTTATGTAACAGTTACATTGTTGAGTAGAAAATTATGATATTGATATTATGTTATTGACAGTTTGTGTTTATATGTAACTCTGTTATACAGGGTGTCCCATTTAACCTGACAAATCGTAATATCTGGAAAACTACATGTCGGATCAAAAAAAGTGGGTAATGAAATTTGTTCGTCTCGAAGGGGGACATCCAATGATATCAAACTCGACCTCCCACCCTACTCCCGGGGGTGGGGGTGGGGGGCAACTTTGAAATCTTAAATGGGAATCCCCATTTTTTATTGCAGATTCGGATTCTACGCCACAGAATACGTAAGTTTCGTCCGGAACTTTTTTTTTATTCGTGATAGATGGCGCTGTAATCGCAAAAAATTAGATTTTCTGCAATTCTCCAGAAATGATCATTGGATTGAAAAATAAAAAAATACCTGTTCAATATTTTTAAAAATATTTTTAAAAAACATAATAATAGTTATTCCCCCCATCTCCTCGGGGTAAGGTGGGTGGTAACGTTCAAATCTCAAATGAGAACCCACATTTTTCATTGCAGAATTAGATTTTACGTGAAGTTTTTATGGAAATAATTTTTTTGAAATGAAATGAAATGAAAAAATTGTTTGAACGTTACCACCCACCCTACCCTGAGAGGATGGGGAGAAATAACTGTTATTATGTTTTTTAAAAATGTTTTTAAAAATATTGAACAGGTATTTTTTTATTTTTCAATTCAATGATCATTTCTGGAGAATTGCAAAAAATATAATTTTTTGCGATTATAGCGCCATCTATCACGAATAGAAAAAAAGTTTCGAACGAAACTTACGTATTTTGTGGCGTAGAATCCGAATCTGCAATAAAAAATGAGGATTCCCATTTAAGATTTCAAAGTTGCCCCCCACCCCCACCCCCCGGGAGTGGGGTGGGAGGTCGAGTTTGATATCATTGGATGTTCCCCTTCGAGACGAACAAATTTCATTACCCACTTTTTTTGATCCGACATGTAGTTTTCCAGATATTACGATTTGTCAAGTTAAATGGGACACCCTGTATATAAAGTATACATAACAGAGTTACGTATAAACACGAACTCAATCGGTTTATAAACATAAATAGGTAACACTCTGTTACCTGTGAATTTTTATTGTAATATAAGAAATGGATTTCATTATTGCCAACCTGTAAACTTCTTGATTGCCAAATATCCACAAGGCTACAGCTATCTGTTTCTCCGGTAGTATCTTAGGCCAATTGTCTAGTTGCAATAAGTATGGTCCAATATGTTGTATCAATACTTCAAAAGTTTCTCTTCTGATGCGAAAATCTGTTTTAAAATCTAAAAGAAAACATATACATATATAACATGACAAAACAATATTATATATGCATTATATAAAATATTTAAAAAATTTTATATGCTTATATTATTTTATACACCTATACGCGTGTACGCATATTAAATGATATTTAAATAAATCTTTGTTTATAAGTATTGAACTCATATTATTGAAATCACTATTTAACATTGTTATATTCAACTCAGTAAATATGTGTGTATATGTCCTTCTTACCTGTCAATGAATAATAAAGAACGACGTTTTCATAAAAGTTATTAATTTTAATATGTTCTTTTCTTACTCTACGTATTTGCCATTCAGATTCATTTTCCTCGTCATCATTAAACATATTCCATAAAAGTAATAAATCCATGTTTGTGTTCTATAAGAATATTTATAAAAATATTTTTGTTAAACAAGAATATGAATCAAATTATAAGTTACCTAAGATATATACCTAAGATATGTATGTATACTCAACTATAAAAGGTTAGGTTTGATATCTTAATATGGTTTTTTCGAAATGCAAATAAATCAAGATGCAATCACGTCCTTTACTTGTTATGAGCTAATCGGATCTGATCGGATTACTTCGAGGACACGTTTCATAAATCGGATTAGTTAAATAGGATTAGGGAAGTTTTTCTAAAGTCAGTTTATATCACTGCTTCCAATTCGATTACAAATCAGATTGCTAGAAGTAAACACCCGCAGTCTCGAACCCGATTAGAGTATATTTTTAGATCTAAAAGAATATACCAATCGGATCAAAGAATTCACTAACTACGGTTGTTACTAATCCGGATTAACATTACCATGTAAACGTAGTCACAGTTCAATACGAATCATTAATATTGTATTGGGCGAAAATTTTAGCATACCAAAACTTTTGGAACTAGCGCTACCAACTACAGCCATTCTCAGTTCCATTTGCGTTTGAATTGTCGCAAACCGTTGCAAATTAATGGCGAATTCGATTGACATGCACTCACTCCCAGTGCCTCACGTTCCAGTGCCTAGTAACTTTTTGTTATTAGGCGCACTTGTTCGGAATGCGTACTTTTATGCTAATCTGAGTGCGGGTAATTTAAGAAGAATTTAAGATTCTGAATTTGCCTACATATCATATAATTTGTTAAAAGTACTCCATCTTAAACGAAAATGTTGAAACTAAACAAATAATATTTTTAATCTGCACACATTTAGGCCGATATTCGAAGTCGGATCTTATATTTAAAACCGTCTTAAGTTCATCTTCAGATATTGTATGGATCATTTTATTAGCTACATAGTATCTAAACATGAACTTAAATAGAAAGACGAACTTAAATATAAGGCTGTGTTCAGAAAATACAACGGTTATACAACGGTTGAGCAATTCATCAATATAACTTCCTTTTTTCCTGTGAAATGATTAGGAATACATCTATTTCTGACTATTCCAAAAACGGTAACTATAATAGATTTAATGTAAACAAGTATAAATCAATAAATAAATATATGGTAGGTACGGTCGCGGACATAAAGGTTGATACTTTTTTTTTTAATGACTTTCGGGACGCATCCCGACTCGAGAAAGATGAGAGCTATTGTTCCGTCTGTGGAGCACGCCTGAGCAATAACTTACAACGAAAGGCGAGAAATTAAATATACGTGGTATGACATAAGTATGTCAACAATCATTGCGTTCAGCGGAGAAAACCGCTCAGTGAGCGATTAGTGACTAAAAAAATACGATTTCACTTAAAATTTAATATACCCAGCAAACACAGAATATAACTGTTATATAACATAGGAGTAACATGTAATATAACATATGTTATACTCTAGTTATATTGAAGTTATATAATTTGGTTTCATAGTTGTAACATAATTGTGTTATATATTTGTTATACTGTTTTGTTATAAGCTAGAGATAACATTATAATAATAATATAACAGTAATGTAACACGTTATATAACAGTAATTACGTTTATATTACATTGATGTTATACAATACAACTATTCATGTAATCCATTAAAAGCTGCAGATACTTTTTATTGCGAATAAAGGTGCATTGCGATAAAGAAAGAAATAGCAAAGCGGAACAGTAACAAATAAAAGAAATGGTGAAAAGCTAATCAATCAGAAATTCCGTTCCACTTTTTTGTGGATGCTTTATTTTGTAGTTCTATGTTTTTCTATGTTATTTTGTAGTTCTATGTATTTTTAATGCCTTCATCGCGCTTAAGCAGGCCATATTGCCTATTTATATTGACGTTTATAATGCATGTTTATATGCATACTGATATGAATATCCCCACAAAAAAGTATATCGAATCCACGTGGAACGCATTCACGTGGAATCCACAAAACCACATGAATTTCACGTGGACACAATATTCCTATTTTCGTGGAGATATCCGCACTTATACTATTTAAACGTTTAAGAAAGCTTGTATATTATACTCACATACAGAAAAATTTCTGTAGGTTTAATATTCTTACTTGTTCGATTTTGAGTTGTTTCATTAAAATATATTTTTACAATATTATTTTTAGAAATAGAAACTCTATTTCATTGAAGAAAACCATGTTGATAAAAAACAGGATTTGAGATAATATTTTTCAAAAGTTTTTTTAGATTTAGATTAATTAAAATTTTTTATTAAAACTTCCTTGAATTTGTTTCAAAATATTTCTTTTGTGGGTTAATCATTATAATACTCTATTATTAGTAACTTTGAAACATAGTCTATACTGATATTCGTCGCATATTGAATGTTGTTGTGTTATTTTAATTTTTGATATGAAAGGTTATAATGTTCTGAGTACTATAAGTATACATTATATAAACACACGTCACAAGAACATCGTTGAAGTCATTGAGATAGCTGCGTGACACTCGGATTATCAGGTTAAGCAACGCTTAGCGTAGTCAGCACATGGAAGGGTGCCGCTTGGAATTGACGCTATCGACAGACGCAAGACGCAAGAAAATTAGGAATAAACTTTTTACATAACAATAATAATACAGTTATATAACAGCTATATAACATTTTAATAACATGTGATATTTCTGTTATATAACTGCAACTTTCTATGAGTGGGAAATTACAACTAACATGTATATTGTTTGTAACGTACACGTTATATTACATGTTACATTTCGTTACATTACGACAATGTAACTGTTACATAACTGTGTTTACTGGGTTATAACTTTTCATGTCGACAATTAAAACAACGCAACATTCGATATACGATGAATATCAGTATAGACTATGTTTCAAAATTACTAATAATGGAGTATTATAACGGTTAACCTATAAAAAAATAGTTTGAAACAAATTCGAGGAAGTTTAAATAAAAAATTTTAATTACTAAATCTAAAAAAAACTTTTAAGAAATATTATCTCAAATCCCGTTTTTTATTAACATGGTTTTTTTTTCTTCAATGAAATAGAGTTTCTATTTCCAAAAATAATATTGTAAAAATATATTTTAATGAAACAACTCAAAATCGAACAAGTAAAAATATTAAACCTAAAGAAATTTTTCTCTGTGTGAGTTTTGTATAATATACAAATGTTCTTAAACGTTTAAATAGTATTTAAACGTTTAAGTATAACGTTAATAGTATAAATGCGGATATCTCCACGAAAATAGGAATGTTATTGTGTCTACGTGAAATCCATGTGGTTTTGTGGATTCCACGTGAATGCAACTAATGCATTCCACGTGGATTCGATGTACTTTTTTGGGGATATACATATCAGTATGCATTTATACGTGCATTATAAACGTCAATATAAATAGGCAATATGGTCTGCTTAAGCGCGATGAAGGCATTAAATGTATGAGTTATAAGTAACTCAAAGGGGCTTATTAAATAACAGTCTTTATTGTCGGACAATATTACGTGTTAGACATTGACTACGTTTACACAGCCCAATTTACGCCAAAGTTATAACATCGATGTTATAACTATTGACGTTAGATGCCGTGTAAACACTCCTTTACGACGAAGTTATCACATTGATGTAGTAACTCAAAGTCATTTGGTGAAGAGGCTTAGAGTTTCTACATCGACGTAAGGAAGACATGTAAACGGACGCAGTGTAAATATGACAATAATACCAATATAAAAATTGAACATCTTAACTTGATTGTAAAATTGATTTATGTCGTGAAAATTGTAATACGGGTCCGAGATCAAGCAAATGATTTGGTGGTGTTAAATTCAACAAATGTTGTAATATAATTTCTTTCTGACGCTTTCGCCGTTTAATCAAAATATTTCGTATATATAGTAGGTATATTGCATCGTCATATTTTCTACTATTTTCAAATATATAACAACAAACGAAAGTACGCTTTCCTTATTTTCCATGATTAATTTTTTCCAAAATTGATAACCTAAAATTTTAATTTCATTTTTAGTTAAATATTATATTTTATTATATAAATTTTACTATATAGATATATACATATTTTATCATTTTCAAATTCATAATATAACCTAAAAGTTCACTTTATTTGTTGATTTATTTACATACTATTCTTTTCATATTCTAATTCTTTTATATTCAGACTACAATCACAATCATTTCATTTTTCGGCCTTTTATATTGGTACTAATGGAAATCCTTGACTCACTCGAATGTTATTAAGTTATTTCAAATAGATTTCAAAGCGTAAATATGTAAACGCAACTCATCTTAAGTAGGAATTATAACATTAGCGTTACTAAGTCGAAGTTAGAAACCGTGTAAACGTAGTCATTAATGAGGTTACATGCCATATATTCCCTTTAGCCTAAAACTAGATATATCTCTATGTGTGTCTCCCTACTATCTGAGATGCGTGCCCTGTAGTGTGTTGTCACTGATACTAGAGGACGGCACTAGACATTATTATACATCTTTCCCTTTATAGATTATGCTTATCAAGTTTTTTAATAGATCGTCCTGAGCGAGTAACTAATATATTTGATTTACAGACTTTCTTTGTATTTTCTTGCTTCCTGTTCATATGCTTAGGGGAGGCGTTTACACTTATGTTTGTTTCTCCCCCATTCACCAACTTTAGTCCACACTCGATCTCAAAATCAGTATGCTCTCTACTGTTCTCCAAAATATTTTTTAATCTTGTTCGGATTGACATCATTATCAGAAGAAGACTTAAGTACTTCACCTTGGTTGACACTATCCCCTGATTGATCTTCATAGATGTTAGATGGCAACATCTGAAAAGCATTTTCTGACAGTCTTAGATCAAATCTATTTCTTCTAATAGTGTTGCCAGTACAATTTTGTACAACATAAAACCTGGGAGCAACATTAGTCTTTATAATTTTGCCTGGCTCCCATTTGTTCATTGTCTGATTGAATATAGTC